CCTTGTGGCCTTCACCTCGAGCTCTGGACTTCTCCCTCCCACAGCATAGCGCAGACAGCCGCCGCCCACCAGGCAGAGCGCTCACAGGCACCAGCCACTCCCTCCACTTCTGCTGAGGCTCTGTCTCTGCGGTTTGTGTCAAAATTGTTTAATGAAAGGAAAGATTTGAAGATGGTTCCACCGCCAAGGCTTTCCACATTTTGATGGTCACATGCTCTGCCTCCATCACCCCCTTTTTCTTCCATGTTTATTTGCCACAAGGCACAAAGGTGGAAACAGTGCCAGGCAGACTCAGGCGACCTGGGTCTGAGGCTGGGTGACCTGGGGCAAGTCGCTCTCTGCCTCCAGGCTGCATTCACACACCTGAGACGGGAGGGGTGAGCCCAGACCAGAGGTCTCCAGACGTTTCTGATCGTGGGTTCCCAGCAATGGAACAATGCGGGGCTTCGTATATGTACTCCCATAATACACCTATGTTCATTCATAAATTATGTGCCTTTACTACAATACCAATGCATTCATATATACAAGCTAAAGATTATTCTCTTTTATTTTATATAGCAAAATTTCCTCTGCCCACGATGTAATTGTTTGCTTACAATGAATAACACTAGTGTAAGGGAGAGCAGTGTGGTTGTGTGTACCTCACTGTTCTTTGAAATCTCGCTTTAACACTTCGACATGGAGCTGTTCCGAGGTCTGGTTGCAGCTGAGTTTATTTTTAATGGCTGTCATAACTAATCCAAAGAGAAGAAGTGTATCACTGGCTGTATTAAATTATCGTTCTCATTATCAGTCTCATCCACCAATTAATGGCTCTTTATTGAAACGGAGCTAGTAGATGCCCATCTTCCCTTACGTCACTCAGTGGCTCTTTACAAGCTAAATGGAAAACATTGCCTTTTCATATTTTTAACAAATGGACTCAAAATCCATTGACATTCGTCAGTCGGAGGATTTTCAAACCAAATTTAACACAGCTGTTTCCAGTAGTTTCAGGGGCGCAGCTGCAGGCATCTTTTGTAGGTGGCACCACCTGTGCTCAACCACGAAGCTCTCATTTTCAAAGTGTCCTCTTGCTCCTTGTTGCCATGAGTCGCTTTTACCCTGAAGACTCAGAAGAATGGGAGTCCACTTTTTGGTGGGTATCTACCACGTATCAGACTGCCAAGCACCGCCAGTCACCATATAAACCTTAGCACACTCGGGACACTTGTCTTGCTGGGCAAGGAACACGCAGAACTAACTCCTCTTTGGGTCTGATGGCTATTCTAAGCGCTCTGCCAAGGTAACCAGGCAAACCTCAGGTGGTTCAAAAGATTTTCAGTTACTTCTCTCTGGTTACAAATCATTGTGTAAGTTATCTTTTAAACTCTTAAAAAACAACAACTAACTGCTCTGGCCCACAGAGCAGCCAACTGGAGCTCGACCACCTGCCTAGAACAAATGGGTTGGGGGGACAAGAGGAGTGAAGAATGGCAGCAAGACAAAAGATTCTGATCAAGCTGCAAACTTTATGTTTCTGAACTGGGTATATATATAGGGGAGGAGGGAGAGGAAGGAGATTAGGTTGCTTGCTATTGGCTAGCTTGAGACAAAGGAGGGCCCGCTTATTGGTTACTTGGGTGTAACTTGTACTCGTGGACACCTCACGTGCCTGTAGCCGATTGGCTTGTGGAGTGCATGGACGCTAGCTGGAGGTTGTTTTGAAAGTCCTTGTTGATTACAGGTTCTGGTAATCAAGGCAATGTTTTTAGCTAAAGGCCAGGTGCTGGAGACCTGGGGCAAGGTTCCGAACAACTAACCATATTAATGCCTCCTGCAGCACTTTGCATACTCCTGGGGTGTGAGCCTGGGCCGCAGTGATCTGCAGGCAGCTAGTTGTACGGTGTCGCCCCCTGCAGATCACCCAGAACCCTTTTCACGGTGGAGCGGCCCCTCCATCAGTGATGGCACTCAATTTCCCCCACATGCGGTGTTTTTATCAAAGCACTAACGTGCTGTTCAGTCCATATTGCCCCTTTCCTTCTGTGGCTCCCAGAGATGTGGTTCTCCATGCATTTCATTATCGAAACAAGAGTCTGGGAACTCCACATGAGAAACATCTGTACTTTTCTCCCACTGTTTACCAAACCTTCCGCAGTGGAACATTCGTTCCGATGCTTATTTCTCTACATCGTCAGCGAGATTTTCTCCACATCTTTCAACAGTATCTCCATGGTCACTACGCTGCGCTCTATTTACCGTTCTTGCTACCAAAGCAGCCACACCAGCTGTCCCCTCCCCCATCTCTGTAAGATGACAAGGTGCCTGCGTGCGGATAAGTCCCGTGATGCGGGTCTAAGGGGGAATGTGTTGGCTCTCTGGCAATCTTCCCCACTCCCCTTGCACTACCAGGGAAGCCAGTCTTGGGGTGGCCCCCAGGGAAGGGAAGATTACGGTCTCACTCCCGGCGGGCCAGCGGGCTTGTCTCTCTGCCTTGCGCCTGTCTGTGAGCGGGGCGAGAGCACTGAAGCCTGCACTTCCGGTTACGTCTGATGGGATTCTCAGTGCATTTCTGCCTCATAGGAAAAAAACCCCAAAAACTTGTGTTTTAAGTATGAGAGGTGTCTGCCCTGATGTTTTCTCGTTGTTCACTTGCATCATCTTCCGTGGCGGGTTCCTTAGGGAATGTTGTTAGCCACCTATCCATTTGTGGGAGTTAGCTTAGTTAAAATTTGACGAAGTAATCCGTGAAGCCTCCTAGTTGAGTACTTGTGACCTGGGACACACCACAGCAGGTAAGTCTTATTAGCATTCACTTGAGGCAGTCAAACCAGAGTTTCGGGGGGGTATGGAGGTGAAAGGGTGGAGGGACCGGGCTAGGCAGGAGCTGGTTTGGAGGTCCCAGCAGGCTTCTTCTGGACCCCGGCCACCCCTGCGACATGCGTGTGTGTGTATATGAGACGAAGCCGCTCACCTGAGAACCTTGTTTACAGTCTAGATTCCTGGGTGTACTCATTTGCTAAGGCTTCCTAACAAAGCACCACAACTATGTGACATAAACAGCAGAAATTTATTACTTCACTGCTCTGGCGTCTGGAAGTCCAAGGTCAAGGTGTCAGCAGGCTTGGTTCCTCCTGAGAGCCTGAGGCAGGGTCCGCCCCATGCCTCTCCACTAGTTTCCGATGCTTTGCTGGCAACCTTCGGCCTCCCTGGGCATGGACAGGCTTCTGCATGTGGATCTCTGCTGCCTGTTCGCCTGCTCTTCTCCTTTTACCCCAGACCCTCTCAGCCAGGATCTCTGAGGACGGGAGCTTACAGTTCACGTTCTTAACGGGAACCTCGGGTAACTCACATGCTCTCTAAAGATGGGACTCTGTGGCCACCCGAGGTGACACAGAATGTCCTTTCTCCTACCTCAAATACATAGGAATGCCAAATAAAATGAAATCATAGATTCTAATATGTAGCTGAGTTCAAGAGAAATGAAGAAATTTTCATGTGCCCTAAATGGAGAAATCAAAACTCGATTTCTGAGGCTGGGGCAACCGTGAGGAGCACCGGTTGGGAGGATATAGGCCCCCAGAGGCCAGGGCTGGGGTTCGAATGTCCATGAGCGGGGTGACTGGGTCATTGCGTGCTTCTAGCAGAGGAACTAACCCTTTTGCACAAAGCCAGAAGCCTTGAGGAAATACTTTGTCAGTGAAAAGGGGACCAGAGATTTATTTCAACTAATTGAGAATTTGGGAGATTGAAGAACTATCGGCCATTCAGTTCTGCTGTGTGAATTCACCAAATGACATATCTTTCTTAGCTGAGCTGCGTCCAAGGGAAGGGAACCTTGGTTGTGGGGAAGGGAGGGATCAAGTCATTTTGGAAGGCGGGAGCAGAGGTGGGGTCCGACGAGGCCTGCCAGCAGGCAGGATGAGTTTAGAACGAGCAAGGGCCGGGTCCCTGAGCAACTGAGGGGGTGAAACGTCCTGGTAGGCAGGACTGGATTAGGGAGTGGAAAGTGGAAGGAGGTGGGTGGTGCCAAGGATAAACTTGCTACTTTTAAACATGTTCAGGCTTGTTCGGTTCAGTTCCCCCTTTAACTCCCATCAGATCTGCTGGTCTCACCCCCGCGCTCTGCCCACCGAGTCTGCCTGTTCCCAGGGGCCGCAGGGGAGGAGCACAGCACTAATAAGATGCCTCAGAGCCGGAAGAGAAGTGGCTGTGTGTTTGCTTGGACCCTGCAGCGGGCGCCAGCAGGGCCCTGTCCTGCGTGCCCCTGGCCAGGCCCGGGTTAGGGAAACCAGGGGCTCCTACAGTCCCATGGCCCTTGCTCCTGTGGGGCTCTAATCTGAGAAATAGTTTGGTTTCAAAGGGAAAACTGTCGTTATCTGTGATAGCTGGGTGGCAACTAACAGTTACCCTTCGCCAAGTGGTATTTACAACATCAGTCAGTCTGCAACTTTAGAGCCATCCCGTTTAACCCTCACAACCCTCCGACCAGGGAGGTAATTCTCCCATCCTACGTAGTAGACGAGAAAGCTCAGGCTCCGGGAGGTGATGAGACTTGTCGGAAGTAAGGTTCCTCACCAGCAAATGGTGCAGCCAGGACCTAAACCCAGGTCTGTGGGGCTTTATGCCAACATGTTCTCCGTGGCTGACACGGGGGAGTGGATTGAAAACAGCTTTTATCCCATTCTTTTCTCTCTTTTTTTGTATTCTCCAAGTTTTATACATAAAATCGAGAAAAACCGGTAACCTTATAAAAACAACAGAAAAACCTCTGGGAGGTGCGTGCAGGAGGAGACAACAGCGGGGAGAGTGACGCCAAGCCTGGGCCCTCATCCCGGGGGTCCTCTCTCTTGGCCCGGGGCCCAGCCCACTGACCCAGCATCTGCCCCAGTACTGAGCTTGTTGCTATTACTTTCTTCTCCAATGCAGGACGCTGTGCTTCAGGAAGAACAAGCAAGGCCCAGGGAGACACGAACTGGATGTTGATAGAACCCCTCCCCCTCCCCCCCCCACAGGTCAACCCGTTCAGAGACCGGATCTGCAGAGTGTTCTCCCACAATGATGTGTTCTCCTTCGAGGACGTGCTGGGCATGGCGTCCGTGTTCAGCGAGCAGGCCTGCCCCAGCCTGAAGATCGAGTACGCCTTTCGCATCTACGGTCAGTGCCGTGGGGGGCCGAGTGATGAGGTGAGAAGTGCCGCAGAGTCCCTGCCACATCTGGAGCCCACCAACACCACTGCATGGGTGGGGTGGTGTTCACTGGGGGGTACCTGCGTGTGTAAGGACATGATCCTATTTCTCAAGGACTGCAGATTTTTCTAAAAAATTGTGCTCCTATTCCAGTGGATTGATGCATTCTCCTCTATGTCATCAGAGGCCATTGGAGTCACTGATGTTGATAGTTCATGGTCGTGGTGTGGGTAGATGACAGATAGAGATGGGGAGAGTGGGGGGGCGGGGAGAGACTACATCATGAGTACAAAGAAGTTATGCTTGTTTTGCAGAAGAGATTTAAACAATAAAATTCAGCCACTCAATGGCTGAGCAATCTTGGGCAGATCATTTCACTTGTCTCAGTGACGGGATCATCTCTGAGGTTGTGTGACGTTTTTCGGTCTCTGGTCTTGTCCTGGGTAGCCACAGGCTCTGCAGAACCTGTGCTTTTCCGTAGGCCCGTGCCCTTAGCACAGCTGGGATGCCTGCATCAAAGGGAATTGGAAGGAAAGAAGCAAAGAAACCCAGGGAAGCCTTCAAACAGACCGTGTGCAAAGCTTTAAGTGCCTTGTGATGGCTTCTCGGCCCCAAAGGACCTGTTCATCCAGGCTTACACATGTTGGCTCCTCCCCTGCCCTCTACTCCTGCCAGCTGCTCCTGTCTTCACGCAGTCGACACCATCTCAGTCCTGTCTCACCCAAGTGCACTTGGATAGGGTGGAATGGAAGAGCTTTAAGCCAGATGGACCTGTGAAGACTCGGTTTTCTTAGCTATAAGGAGGACTTAATGTTATTTTTGCCTCCTGTGTGTCCTCAGGCTCGGTGTCCGGTTAAACTCAATTGCAATCACAGATTGCTCTACTGAGAATGGCTGAGCCAGCTCCTGTCACACTGTCATTTCCACCGATCGCAATCATAAACCCTAAATAAATATACAGAAAGTAACTACTTGATGGCACTGGAAAGCTATCAAAAGCAAACAGATTCTAGAGGCAGCTGACACTTGAAAGAAGGAAATGGTACTAGATGGTCCTCCTCCCCACCCCCAACTTTGGGAAAAAAACTACGACTTTTTTTATCTTGAAGGTGGGTTTCAGTGAGTAGCATCATGCAGGACTGGCAGAAACTCTGCACTCTTTCTGACCTGAAGAATCGGAGAGGCTGGGGTGCTTCTCCCTTGAAAAACAAAAAGAAAGGGAGAGTCCATGAAAGCCAGAGAAAGGGTGCCCAAATTTTGTGTATGACTGTGCCTAACTCCCTTTCTTTCCTCTAAACCACATGTACAAGGACAGACGCACAGCAGCTTGGGTGAGGATAAAAGAGCTGAACTGAGGTGTGAGCGGCTGCTGCCTTTCAACCAGGACCCATGTGACAGACAGCGTTAGCAGTTTGAGTCCAACCAATTGCCTGTTAAAACCAAACATTTAGCACTCTTTGGAGGAATATAACAGAATCTAGAATTTCCACCAGAAAGTATTTATGATGTTCAAGATACACTCTGAAATTAGTCAACATATAAAAATTTTAGCCCTGACCTGTGTGGTCCAGTGGGTTGGGTGTTGTCCTGCAAAGTGAAAGGTCACCAGTTTGGTTCATGGTCAGGGCACATGCCTGAGTTGTGGGTCTGGTTCCTGGCTGGGGTGTGTACGAGAGACAACTGATGAACATCTCCTGCACGTCAGTGTTTCTCTCCCTCTCTTTCTCCTTCCCTTTGCTTCTCTCTAAAAATAAATAAATACAATCTTTAAAACATTTTTAAAAAATCGATGCATTCTCAAGAATGGAGACTGACTCTGACATGACCCAGGTGTTGGGATTGGCTGATAAGCATCTTAAAACAGCTATTAAAACCATGCCCACTGATGTAAAAGAAAGTATGCTCACAGAGAATAAAAATACAGACAGTCTCAGCAGAGAAATAAAAGCTATGAGGAAGAATCAAATGGAAGATATATAACTAAAAAAATACAATATCTGAAATAAAAATCACTGGATGGGCTTAACAGGAGACTCACAGGGACAGAGAAGAGAGCCAGCATCACTGAAGACAGATCAGTAGAAATATAACCTAATCTGAACAGAGAGAAAAACCATGAAGGGATAAAAGGAACAGAGCCCCAGGGACACATAGAGCAATAGAAAGGTCTAACATATAACCAGATCCTCAGGGGGAGAGGAGAGAATGAACAGAGCAGAAAAGATGTTTGGAGAAACAATGGCCCCAGGTGTCCCAAATCTGATATGAGAAACACATTTACAGTGACTTTCAAGCTGGGTCAGTACAAATGAAGTCACCGAAATCTGGTTGGCTTAACAGCCCCCACCTCCCATCCACGTCATCCTTCTTTATCCCAAGTATTCAGTTGGCCAAAAAGTTCGTTTGGTTTTTCCCGGAAGATGGCTCTAGTAAGTACCACTTAGTTGTCTTTAACTTCATTGGAATCAATTTTGTTAGATTGTATTGTGACATCTGTCATATCAACATGCATTTTTCAAAAAAAAACTTAGCAAAGTTGGCAAATTTTTGTTTAGTCATTTTAATATTGAAGATGGAAGAAATACACAACATTTTCATCATATTATGCTCTATTATTTCAAGAAAGGTAAAAATGCAACAGAAACACAGGAAAAGAGACTTGTGCAGCATATGGAGAAGGCGCTGTGACTGATCAGACGTCTCAAAGGTGGTTTGCGAAGTTTCGTGCTGGAGATTTCTCACTGGATGATGCTCTGCGGTCAGATAGACCCGTTGAAGTTGATAGCGATGAAATCGAGACATTGATTGAGAACGATCTACACTGTACCACATGAGAGATAGCCGACATACTCAAAACATCCGAATCAATAAAATATTGGTGAAAATAAAAAATGTGTCTCTTATTTTATGGAAAAAACCATGTAGACTGTTGGCCAACCCAAGTATTTCCGGGAGTCCCCAGGAAGTTCTCGGTGGACCCAAGGGGAACAAGTCCGCCAGCCACTGCTACTTCCCGTCAGGCCCTCTGCCACCGGGGACTTGCTGTGCTGCCTCTGGCCACTCCCATCTCCTGTCAATCTTCTTCTAAAGGGGGCAGCTCTTCTGAATGGGGAATGCTGGCCCAGGCCGGCGCTCTTGTCTTATCCAAGAATCTTCAGGTTGCAAGTAACGGGGACTTACCTGTGTGAAAGACAACTGGTGAAGAACAGCAGTATATTAGTTTTCCATTGCTGCCTGGTAAATTAGCACAAACGTAGTGGCTTTAGGTGACACACATTGTATCCTCACAGCTTCTGTGGCTCAGGAGTCCAGGCGTGGCTTGGTCAGGTCCTCCTCCTGGGGCTCCACAGGCTGCCGTCAAGGTTCTGGCTCTGCTGCTTCTCGCCTGGAGAACGGATGCTCGACTCAGGGAAGAATCCACTTACAAGCTCACTCCGATTGTTGGCAGAATTTATTTCATTGTGTGCACAGAAGTTGGAGCCCAGGCTTCTTGCTGACTCTGGGCTGGACGCTGCCAGTTTCCAGAGGCTGATCTGTGCTCCTTGCCACCTGGGCCTCCCGACATGGCCACCTGCTTCTTCAAAGACAGCCAGGGAGAGTCTCTTCAGCCAGTGTGCCGGCAAGATGGGGTCTTATATAATTTGTTAGAATCATAGAAGCCACACCCCATCACTCTCGCCAACCCATTGGTTAGAAGTCAGTCACAGTTCCTGCCCACATTAAAGGAGGAGTATGGATTCTACAAAAGCATGAACAGTAAGAGGGGCAGATCACAGGGGCAGGGGCCCTCGAGTTTGTCCACCACAGGAGTCTGGTACCCGTGGTAGACCTGGAGCAGGGCTCCAGGGGGCCTGGGATGCAGCCGGCCGGTGGGCAGGAAGTGAAACAGCTACTCTCTCTGCTTCTCTCTGCGGTGGCCTTGCCTCTTTCATCTCCGCTTCTCTCTGGGCCCTTTCTCCTTCTGCAGATCTGATGTTCATGCCTCTGTGCCTATGGGCCAAAGATGACTGTCCCGACCTCTCAATGGCCCGCTTCACTCTTACCAGCCTTGAGCACCTCCATTTCTCACTTCTGTTTTCTCAGGAGACTCGGACTGGCTCAGCGAACCAGTGCTCTAGCTACCCCCAGGTTGGGTGACCGGCCTTGTCCAACTGACCACAGCCAGGAAGCAGCAGCGTCACAGAAACAAACGTGGCGGCAGAGGCCTATGGCTGGGGGTGGGGACACTTCCCGAGATGGTAAAGTGTAGGCTGGGCAGATGTCTCAAAATATGTCTGCTTCAGCTGTCTTTCCATGGTTTTCAGAGCGAAACAAACAAAACCGCCCAAGCCTTCACGGAGCCAGGAGGGCAGCAGGTTCTCCTCAGGCTTCAAGGTGCAGGAGCTGAACTGTGTTCAGCTCAGAAGTGGGGAGAATGCCCTCACTCCCGGGAGGCCAGACGGAATGCCGCGGGTCAGCTCAAGGACCAGACACCACCGGTGCCCCACGCTCTCCTTGGGCCCCTCCTCTGCCCCTGCTCTCCAGGTCGCCTCCACTGGTTTCCTTCCTCCTCAAGCTCAAGCACAAAAACAAAAAGTGCAAAGCCTCCAGGCAAATCGGCTGTGCAAATAGATGCCTAGGGACTCATAAACTCCAAGGCTCCATCAGACACACCCAGACAATCCCAATTCTCATTGGGCTCTGAAGATTTCTTACCTTGCACAGCTGTCTGCAGGATTAGAGCTGGGGCCTCTGAATCTCTGAGCCCGGTGCCTGGCACGTGGTAGCTGCTCCATAAATGGAGGTGGTTGTGATAGCAGTGAAGGAGGAAGAAGAGGAAAAAAACTAGAAGGAAAAGAGAAGGAGACAGGAAGGAGAAGACGGTGATGGTAATGGCCGTGGTGATCACTCTCAGCCAGAGTCCGTGCACCAGCTGCATCAGCGTTGCCAGGGGGCTTATTGGAAATAAAGAATCTCAGTCCCCCCACCCCCCACCTACTGAATCAGGTGGTTCCTCTGTACCTTAAAGTTTAAGAAGCTCCAGCCCACTGGTTCGCAGACCTGGCTGCACAGCAGACTCACCTGGGGAGCTCTGAAGACCCGCAGCTGCTTGGGCCCGAGCTGCAGAGACTTGACGTAACGCTTTGGGTGCACCCTGGTCGGTGGGCTTTTGAGAAGCTCCCCGGGCCGTTCTAAAGTGGAACAGAATTTGAGAACCACTGCCCTGACCTACTCTATCAGTGAGAATGGTACACGGTTATGAGTAAGAGTGGCCATATCAAAGAAACAAAAACCGAAACCCCCAGATACCCCAAACCAAAGAAAAAACCATTCTGGATCAGGTAGTCCAGAGCCGGGACGTGGCTGCAGGAGGGAAGCGAGGGCCCAGCTCCTTTGAGCCTTCTGACCTGCCACCTTCGGTCCAAGACTGTTGTCCTCCCAGTCACAAAATGGTTGCTGTGCCTACAGGCATCTTACCTTCATTCCAGCAGAAAGAGAAAGGGTTGGAGGAACTGATTTGGGCACACTGAACATTCAAAGGCCCCGATTAAGTCCACTCTCCCCTGGCAAACTTGCTCGGAAGCCCCACGCAGCAACTTCATATTTCATTGGCTAGAACTGCGTCACATGACTACGCATAGCTACAAGAGAGCCTGGAAAGCCTAGCATTTTAAGCTGACCATGATGTCATTGTGAACAAGAATTATAATTCTATCGTAAGAAGGAGGGAGTGCATTACTACTGGTCAAGAACCCAGCAGGGCCAGCCACACCTGCCTGGGACATGCCTGGGCTCCAGTTTCTGCTCAAATGAACACTCCTGGCCCCCAGATGATCGGTCATCTCCCCCACCCCCAGCACCTCTGGGGGGGGTTTCCACCTACTAGACACCACCTCCCAGCACTGCCTTCCTGTTCCCGCCGGCGCGGCCTCCATTAGAAATGAATTACCCTCAGGCAGGTGCCAGATCTCCCCACATCTCCCCAAGATCTGATGTGGTCGTGAGGGATGCTAGTGGCTGGGGAGAAGCCAGGGGGGCCACCTCAGTTCTTGGGGGCATAAAATAGTGAAAGTGTGCCCTACCTGGCTCCATCAAATGGGCTAATTTTTGCAAAAGTATTTGGTACATTGCAAGGAGTAATATAACAGAGACATTGGGATGATGATGGTAAGAATGTTTTACCATCTGGGACCTGAAGGCTGAGCCCTACTCCCACCAACTCTCTAACCTCCCCTGTGGTTGAGAAACAGCAAGAGGAAGACCCCACCCCGAGTGGCCCAAGGCTGCAGGCCCTGAGGCTGTTGAGGCCCCAGGGGCTGGCCAGCAGCCCAGAGCTCCCAGCTCCCAGCCCCCAGCCCTTTCCCAGGCTGCTCTGCCCTTGCCCAACCCCCCCCCCCCCCCCCCCCCCAAAGGAGGGGAACCATCCAGGACTACACTTTATTCCAGCAGACGATTTTGTTTCCAGATGGCTTAGGACCAAAGCCATGTCACTTTGCTGCAGTCTCTGCATATGGGAGCTGGGCCAGCAGGACGCCTGGGGACACTGCAGGGCCTGTGGGAGAAGCTGCAGAGCTTCTCACCAGCAGGGCAATGTCACTGCGGTGGCTTACTGCCTCCAGTCCTGGTGACAGGCTCTCAGCCATCACCCATGGTGATGGGGGAAGGACTCCCGGTGCGGAGGCCCCGAGGCCAGGCACTCCGGGCAGGCCAGGCCTCCTGGGAATGGCAGGCCAGCAGAGCGAGGGCGGGGCAGCCCTTGGAGTCCACCGGGAAGATCTGAAGAAGGATCCATAGCATCACTGGCTGAGAATAGACTGAAGGCGGCAGCCGAGAGTAGGGAAACTGCGAATCTACCGCCACGTTCTGGTGTCTGGACCAGCGGGCAGGCGGTGCGGCGGTGGGGCAGGGAGAAGTGAAGAGGCCGGGTTTACTGTTACTGTCGTTTGAAGGCAGAGCTGGGAAGATTTCCTACATGTGAACTGTGGGGAAAAGGGACGGAAAACTCCAAGTTTATTGGCGAGCGACTGGAAGAGTCGGGTTGCCCATTTGCCGAGAAGGGCACAGCTGTGAGAGCGGCAGGTGTGCGGGCAGGGTGAAGGCGGGCCTGTGTAGAGTTCAGGTTTGAACGAGTTGCATTTGAGGGACCTGTTAGACCACGTGGAGAGGGCAGGAAGGTGGGTGGGAATATGCGCACCTGGAGTTCTCCCCTGGAGAACTGGAAGTATGAATTTGGGGACATGAGATTAAGAAAGTGTGATCATTTAATCTTTGTGTGCCTCAGTTTCTCTACCTATCTTAGGAGGACTAAACGCAGTGAAATGTAAATCGCGTAGACCACTGCCTGGCGCACCTGTGCGTGTCCAGGTGGTAATTATACAGGCCTAAGCTTCCTGAGTCTGCTGCGTGGCTGACGAGTGGTTTAGGGACTGAGTCCGGTGTCCTTGGGGAGGCCTGCCTCATTCTGCCATTCAAGGACCTTCAAAGCTCAGTCCACCTTCCAGACCTAACCTCTGACCTTCTCCCAAGCCTTGCTCCCCTCGCCCTGGACTGGTCACCCCAGCGTGGTTCCTTCTCTGCCTCTGACCCTGACACCGTCTCCAGTCACCATCTCTGCAGGCCCAAGTCTTT